ACCCACCCACCCAACGCTCTCACTCCTCTTCCAGTCTACTCTTCCCATTCACTTTGCAGGCGGATGATTCGACTTGTAGATAGTATTCGATACCCACAACATTGTACTTGTGCATGTGTGGAAAGTCCTATGATAATCTAATGTACAGTATTCTCCTTTTTATTCCTATCTTTCCTCATTCATTGGATCTTTACTCTATTCTTTGCCCACCTCATCATCATCATCATATTTTGCTAATGGTAACTTCGGTTCATGATATGCTTCACCACATCCTCGCTTTTGTTCTCTCTTTCCAATCATTCATGCATCATCAATCCACCATACCCCGGACGCTCCTTGGACAATAAAAAGTTTTGTCTTTCCATCAGTGTATTCATGCAACAAACTTTCTTCTCCGCATTCAAGCTGTGTATTGTGTCGAATATAGTTAGCATCTTGTTTCACCATGGCTGGGTGTACGTATCAAGCACCTGATTTTGACTCCCTCCTTTTTTTATGTTATTCACATGCGAGCCCATTGTTACGTATCATCATGATGATAGATATCAGTGATGGGATGATCACGGGATGATCAATCAATGTTGTTGTTCTTGTTGCTCTTGATAGAAGAAAGCGGATCTTTGACTCCTCCTTACAACATGCTCTGTTGAAGGGTATTACAATAAAGATAGCAAGCATGTATGTTGTGGTGCATTGTGGCGATCATCACGGCGTAGCCATATTATTATACATCGGAGCAGGAGGTGAGAAAGGGGCCAGCTGCTAAAGAAGGTGTGCGTGTATAATATGTACGTGTGTGATGTGCAGGTACTATGATCGGGGAGTTATAATAAAGCGACCGGCTGGTAAGGAGAATCCATTAGTAGAGGCAAATAACGCATTGATCCACCAGGAACCAATGATGGGTCTCATCACTCGATCTCCACTGCTAACACAAAAAGTATATACATTGTGGGGTATCAAAACCAATCGGGCATAAGGTTTTTCGTTATTGCCAACAGAGTTTTTCTCCTTGGCTTCTCTTATGATCCGTTGTCTTTTTACGTGTGTTTTATACCAAATTGGTATATGCTGCCTTTTGCCATCTCGTTGTTGTAGATCATCGCTTTCTATTTTCTGTGCCTTGCTGAATACACCCGTATCATTTTCACGGAGACATCACTTGTTTTATCTGGGGCCGAGATGATCTTTCCATATTATCCTTCGCCGATTACTCTATCCACTAACCATATTATAGGAAGTAACCTTGCTAAGTCGATAAGGAAGCACACTCGTAAATGCATTTGCCGCTTTGTGTTTCCCTTTATCGGATCAACGCTTGGCACTGATAAGGCTAGACCTTGAAGCTATCCTGATTGCCGGATTAACAATCTAATACAGTAGCTTCGTTTTCTTTTTCTCCAAAGGAGCCGTGTTGTATATGTATGTATGTATTCATTGTGTCAGTATCGGATGCATTTCAAGTGTTGTTCGATACATGACATGCTATATAGAACAACCCCCTTGCCATGTTACTGTCGGCGACTTTGCTTATTGTAAAAAAATATATGCGTATGTGCCAAGGAGAACAATGAACTATAAATCAACGATAAAACAGTGTATATGGGTATTCCTGCCCACGTCGGAATCAATTCCTCCGGTCGATCAACCAACCCCCTTTCCATTAGGATGCTTGAACATGACCCCATAAAGCCGACCCCAAATTGTGGAACGGTTCAAGCCGATTGAAATGTCCAACCTTAAAGAAAGTTTAGCTAGCACTCACAAAGAAAAGGTAACCCAAAGTACTATTGATCTCCTCATTCCTTCATAGCACGCGTACATCTTCCATAAAGGGACATTTATGCCATTCATCAATCACATTATCATGGATGTAGGAAAATAACTCTTTAATGCGTGTGTTTTGGGGGACGGCTAATTGGTTGATTCTCCTTCTGAGTACACTGAAGACGCTTTATAATACCAAGGTTGATGAGATGATCTTTTTTTATTGTGCATGCATGTGCGATTAATCTTGTTTGGGAGGCACTTGAGGCACCATCATGATACCACCATTGTCAACATCACAATCCTTGTAGACAAAGAGCAATGCACCAGCCGTGAGCACAATCAGAGTCACACCGGTCCAGAACAAGAGCTGAAAGTCACCAACGGCATCCTCAACCTGGCATGCATCACCAAGATAGGAAGATGATTGACATTTGCATACATAGCATTCGTTGTCACTCTTGTCATCTGGCACGCATTGACCACGACCGCTGCAGCTGGAGGTACCGTTCAAGCATGCATCTTCAGTGACATAGCATGTATCACTTTCTTGCAAAGTCTCAGGCACACCACGTTTGCCGAAATGATGAGTGTAACGTGTAGGCGTAAAGATGACAGTAATCAAGTTGCGTTCATTAGGATGAAGCTCCTGGAAATCGGGTATCACAGTCTACATCATGCAATTGTCCAATCTCAGCACCCTATGCATTAACAACATGTACTTGATTACCTCTTGGATTAAGTCATCGACGACGCGTCGTGCCTCTTGATATTGAGAAGATTGTGTGCCATATGCCTTTTCAAGAAGCTATATATACAATTCCAACTTCAATCAAAAAATGCTCTTTTGCTTCAAGTGTATAACTTATTACCTGTAATCCTTCCATCTTTACAGCAACAAAGTTGGCAGTATCCTTGACAGCATTCTTGACAGCATCGACTTCCTTGAGGAAAACGCGATCGGCCTAATGTAAAGAAGGAGATGATGGTGAATAAGCTTTTCGACAAGGAAGAAGAAGAAGAAGAAGAAGAAAAAAGACCCACCTCTTGTGAGAGATCAAAGACACCCGTATCATCCGTAACCTCTGCGTCAAACAAGCCCATGTTGGAACGCACCGAGACGCTTTGACCATTCTTTTGAAGAGCTTGTGCGGTATCATCAGCCAAGACCATGTAATCTTCAGCAACATTATCGGAGACGTAGAATGATGGATCCATGGGGAAGGTATCTATAAGAGAAGAGGCGTGAGTCTTATACCATCATTGTGGGGGGCGTGTGTGCGTGTAATACAAGTAGTGTCACTCTCAATATACCTTCAGATGCATCCACGCCTGAGACGACAAGGAACAGACCGTTATCAAGCTTTCGTTCAAAGACGTCATCTTGTGCATGAGACCACCAAGCAGCACGATTGTTCCAAACTGCCTTGGCACCAGCAATGGTCTCTTGTTTGTAAGCTTGTTGCATGTGGTGAATGGGATGACAGTCGGCCGTGTCAGTCATGTGCGAAAGCACCATTGAAAATGCGTCCAAAGGAATGGTGGGTTTCTCAACGTTGTTGCTGGTATCCATTGCTGAGGCATCGTCGCTGGTGACCATATACACGGTAGACCGAGCTTGTAACAGGGGATGCGTGTTAATGTCAGTTTCAACAAAAGGCAATCTAGGCGTAGCTTTACTCACCCATCACGGTGGCACTTGCAGCCAATAAGCTAAAGACAATGCCAGAGGTCTTCATTGGTGATAAAGAAACTCGGACAAGAAGTAGGTAAAGAGGAAAGGGTTCTTGCACGAAAAAAAGTCGAAACGCTTGGTGGGCGTATCCCCTTCCTGTTTCATCGGAGAATGCGATTACTACTATCCCATCCCATTACACACGTATCCACACACAATCAAATCCATGGTGATAAATGCTGGATATAGAGTCTTTTATATAAGCTATGCTACAATGTACAAATATGAATACATCACACACTATGCTATGCTATAACAGGGCGGTGGTTACTGGGAAAAGCATTGGGTGGTTGCGGTGGTAACGGTCTTTCTGATGGTGGTGGGCGGCGTTGTTGTTGTGGGGGTTGTTGATCATATTCATGTGGTTTGGAAGGCATCACAGTGGATGAAAGAGGTGGCGTGGAGGGTGTGGATTTGGATGTTGTGTTATTCTTCGACAAGAAGCTTAGACCTTTAAACACTTTTTTGGCATCTCCCACAAACGATGATGACCTATTTGATGAAGGTGGCGTAGTGGATGGTGATGAAGATCCCACGCTTGATGTACTAAAACGACTTGTGGATTTGGATGAAGAGGAATATCGACGAGGTCCTTCAGGGCGCTCAATGCCTAATTTACCACCGATGACGTTCATTTTCTTTTCCATAATCATGCTTGTACGCATGTCTTGGTAACACACTGCACATAGCAGGTCAGCTGTATGCACCTTGTCGGGAGTGGGCCATCCTACAAGTGATTGCTGGCATCGGGCACAATCAAATTCGACTTCGACATTATCCCATTTGGTAGCACCATACGCTTCTCTTTCACCATACTCAATGCATGCAGATTTGAATACCACTCTCCAATCTCGTTGTTGTGGATCGGTCGATGTTGATGAACGACGTCGAAAAAGTTGTGGCTCACTGGTGCTCCTGAATGTTTGCATAAGTTGAGAGCAAGCTTCAATCACTACTTCCGCTTGGTTTTGATCAAAATGATTCCAAAAGTGTTGGCCCTCGTGTAAATAAGCTAAGCATTTATCAGCAGCTGCCACTTGCACATGTACAGCGCGCCGTTGTTCCATTTGAGCATCATGCTCTTGTTGCTTACGACCAAGCAAGTTGCCAGCTTGTCGCACTGCCGCTTGTATCGCTTCAATCGATTCTCGTATCTGAACAACTTCTTGCTCAGCTGCTGCATTTTTATCTTGCGCTCGCACATACTTTTGCTGGAAGCTCTTGGATACCACTGGGATAAAATAAAAATGGTTGTACTGCTTCTCACGTTTGGTTTTCTTGGTACGTCTTCGTTGGGCGTATTCACGAATCCCCTGCAGCTGCCGTTCAAACACTTTGAGCTGTTCTTCATTTTCGCTACGCTGTTGTCGTAGTTTTGCCACTTGATGATTCAAATCGGCTACCATGGTATCCAAATGGGTTAGCTGCTGCCGAGCAGAATATTGCCACCGGGCATATTGTTGGTCTAACGCCTGCACCGTTAGATTGAATATCCGGATACGCTTTTGTCGTGCCTTGACAGCTTGTTGTAGGTCCCGAAGAGAATGTAGTGCCTGTCGTCGGGTAACAGCATCGTTGCTTGATGCGTATCGTAAAACTTCATCCGCCTTTTCGCCGTTGATCACAATGGGTTCCATGTGGGAAAGAGGAGAAACAAAGAAAAAGAGCCAAATTGATCGTTCCACTGCTCTTCTTTTTCATCCTGCCAAGCGTACACAAAACATGATTCTATTTTTGGAACCTCCGCTCATCAGCAACTTTATCCCTGGATACCTGTATACAGGACGTGTCTGCATACAATCAAGCATCGTTTATCATTATTACAAGTAATGGCTCTTAGCAATTGGACATTTACATACCAGTTGTTGACGCTTTACATATGCCTTCCACTATTGAAGGTAAAATGATGCCTTCTATACTAAGCTATGTTCATCTTACTATGATGATTAACAAGCCCCTTGTTGTTATTGGTCTGCGCCTCTTTGTGACCACATATACAATGAGCCATTGAGTACTCTTTTCTAAATTGTATTGAATGAAGCATGTCTTTGAGTCACTTAATCATGGGACATAGCGGAATCGGTTCTCGCATATGTATCAACCCTGCAGATCTTTATTTCATATCCAACTTGAGCAATACTACATCATGCTGCATAGCCTTCAGCAAATTCGTTGATAGCATAATCTTCATAACGACATAGATGGCAACAATGTTTGTATATCGGCATGTCATATGAAGATGGAAGAAAAATGACTCTCGCTGGAATTACATTGTATCCGATAGATGGCTTTCAATGACATTTGTTGTTACACATATTGTCGCTGCATGGTGATGATTTCTTGGATGTCACTACATAGTAACCCCACGTTGCACCTTTCCCATTCAATTTTTTATAATAAAGTATAGGTTTTTTTTAATACGAAGTTGATAATCATGTCCAAGAGCACCTTGTGAAAGTTTCAGGTTCGAGATAGGCAATTTCAATACCAAGGTTTGATGTACAGTGTTTAAGGAGTTGTCTGGCAGCGTCTCACCTATTTAATTTCCACTCCTTCCACTCCCACAACTTCTCGTCTCTTCCTCCCATTCTCAACTGTTGCCCCATTCAAGTATACAACTACCACCTGCGAATGATTGTCCTGCTTCAACCCATCATGTCAATCCTATAACTGTCTTGATCCAACTCTCTTTGACTGAATGACAAGTCCATGGGCGTGTGCACCCCACTACGACACACTTTCTCTTGTACACTCCTCTACCACGAGCAATCGTAACAGCATTCATTGCAGCAATTGCATTAGCAAGGCCTTTACTCCATTGTTTCAAACAGCGTTCTCTACTTGCAGCAACTTGTCTTGAGGCCTTGTCACGTGAACAGCAGATAGCCATTGTATACAAGCAGCTTCGTTTATGCATTGCAACTTTGTCCAATACATACGATTTCTTGTTAATATGAATATGGATCTGAATATTGGTTTGCTATATGGGGATGGGTGGAAGTGTATACATTGTCTGGTTTGGTTCGCTTGGCCCATTTGGAACGTGATGTCTATTTTGGATGACGCGCTATCAGCCATCAACTACGCCACAATACAAGTAACCTTTAGCTGGTTGAGCTGTGATGGAAAATGACCAGGAAAGGGATTGACCAACAGGTGGTTGGAAAAGGAAGCATGCCAGCCGCAATATTGGGTTTACAATGGTTATGGATGGAAGGATGCGATTAAGTGCAGTGATAAGAAGTCTTGGAATGTTGCTTTGGTTGCTTGGCGCGTCATCAGTAGGAATGATGAATCATACCCTATGCATACTGCTGAGGAGGAGGATGGCTCGGATGGAATTGAGGAGAGGGCTTGTATCTTTGACGAAAGGAGGTGTTTCACAGCTATGGATGATACTGGAATACTCGAGCCAAAGCATACAACACCTATTTTGCAATCATGGATGAAGGGTGATCATAACGACAGCAATCAAGTATAGGATGACACAATTATCCCTAATGACTCTATATGTTTCGCCCATATGTACCCTGTTCAATTTGGCTATATTGTTCCCTTATGTATCATGTAACTTCTTGATAAACATCGTCCACAATACCGTGTCTACGTGTTCTTCGACTTTTTATTGAATGAAAATTGGATTCAACATAATACTTTGGGTATCGTACGATCAGCTTAGATGTGCAAGAGGCGGATCACTTGGTTGTTTTCTGCATTGAAAGGGGAACTGCAAACGTGAAGGGTGGAAAGCGAGATACCATATATTTGGTGGCGGTTACACAATAGGTTACACAAGTTGGTTCAGGAGTGGAGATGCATAACTCATTGATTCGTGTATTGCGCACAGACCTGGTAGCTTAATTACGAGGGCTGTTCTCAATTGAAGTCTTGAGCAGTGATCATTCTTATTGAGCTAAGAGTATAGGATGCTGTTGAGGTTACGTATAAACAGTAATAGCTGTAGCAAGCGGGGTGGCATGGAGTGCAAGAATTGGAGAGAACAGGAGGAACAAAGAGACCACTCTTCTTCACTTCCACTTCACAAAAAAAGGTAAGCTTGTCTCCATTTACAAACTACAACGCGTTAATTGCTGGCATTCCTTACAATGTACAGCGTTCATTGGGGTGAACATGTGGTCAATGGCGACACTTTCCAGTTGCAGACATTCAACAACAAGTACGCGCGCGATCTGCCCATGACTCAAGCTTCCATTGCAATACAACATGTACGTTCCATCGCTGCATTACTTTATTATTAACGTTGGACATTGAGGTACTAAAGTTCACGTGTAGTTTGCTGTTCTCTCGTTATACAAGTTCCAAAGGGGGCGTCGTGTGTCGTGTGTGTTCTTTTCATGGTTGCCATCAAGGAGAGGTCCCAACACAGTGTTACTATGGGTATGTCGACATGAAAAAAGAATGCTATTGTTACCTTACACTTCATTTACTGTAGCTTGGACACGTTGGTTTATGGTACCTGTGGCAGCAACAAGTTACGGATCTCAAAGCAAGAATGCTGTATGGTTGGCTCAATGGTATGCGTGGTATTGGATCTACAAAGCGAAACCTGTTAATTAACGAGACTTACAATGAAACAGCAGCAGCATCTACTGGATCGGATGAATACCAGGTTATTTGCAGCAACAATGGTATTGAGAAATACCATAAGGTAAGAGGTTCATTGTGGGATTGGTTGGATTCAAGTGGACTTACCAAACACCATACAGTGGCAGGGCCTCTTTCGGCGATACTATTATTATCAAGGCTGCACGTCAAGGATGTCATTGTATAGTACTGTGCTCTCCTGGGGAATTTTGGCCCGGAAACAGTGTGACTCAAGATGCGATGGCAAGGCCAATTTGAAAAGGCATCCGCTGTGCACACGGCCTCCATCCAAGTACGGCTATTGATTTCCTTGCCTACAGAGAGAAGGTGGATATCTCTTATGATGCCAATTTCAGGATCCAATGAGAGTATGGTACATATGGTGGCATACCTTGGCGCTGCAGGTTGATTATTGTATTGCCTTCAGATGGTGTATTTGGTTGCAATTCCTTGCGATCACCATGACTCACGGCGACGTGTGCCTTCCTTACCGAGTTGTCCACAATGAGAGTTCTCAAGACGTCTTCACATTGCCTCTTTTGGGTATGCTGACAACAAAAGCGTGTGGATTGGGTTTGCTTCTTATCTCACATTGCGTTTATGGTAGGTTGAACATGTTGAATGATGGTACCTCTGGCAGCAACAAGACATTGATATCAAAGCAAGAACGCTGTACGTTGGCTCAATGGTATGCGTGGTATTGGATCTACAAAGTGGAACCTGTTAATTAACGAGCCTTGCAATGAAACAGCAGCAGCACCTACTGGATGGCATGGATATACGGTGTCTATTTGAGGCAAAGACGCTATTGAGAAATACCACAAGGTAAAGTGTCCATTGTGGGATTGGTTGGATTCAAGTGAACTTACCAAGCGCCATACAGTGGCAGAGCCTCTTTCGGCGATACTATTTTGATCAATCAGCACGTCGAGGATGTCATTGTATAGTACTGTGCTCTCCTGGGGAATTTTGGCCCGGAAACAGTGTGACTCAAGATGCGGCCTCAGGGATTTAAAAATGCATCCGCTGTGCGCACGGCCTCCATCCAAGTACGGCTATTGATTTCCTTGCCTACAGAGAGAAGGTGGATATCTCTTATGATGCCAATTTCAGGATCCAATGAGAGTATGGTACATATGGTGGCATACCGTGGCGTTGCAGGTTGATTATTGTATTGCCTTCGGATGGTGTATTTGGTTGCAATTCCTTGTGATCACCATGGCTCAGGGCGTCGTGTGTCTTCCTTACCGAGTTGTCCACAATGAGAGTTCTCAAGACGTCTTCACATTGCCTCTTTTGGGTATGCTGACAACAAAAGCGTGTGGATTGGGTTTGCTTCTTATCTCACATTGCGTTTATGGTAGGTTGAACATGTTGGATGATGGTACCTCTGGCAGCAACAGGATACGGATCTCAAAGCAAGAATGCTGTATGGTTGGCTCAATGGTATTCATGGTATTGGATCTACAAAGCGAAACCTGTTAATTCACGAGACTTACAGTGAAACAGCAGCAAGACAATATGGATGACATGGAGATACGGCTTTATTTGAGGCAATGATGCTATTGAGGAATACCACAAGGTAAAGTG